TAACAATCTAAGATATCTAGAATTGAGCAAAGTGTAGACTCTTAACGATGGAAGAAAATCACTATAACATCTGTGAAGCTTAAGCGGATGACGACAAGATCGACACATAATTGGTGATTAGAAAGCCGAAAATGATACGGAAGAATTGTATTAGACTCTCTTGAAAATATATTTTTTATTTGGTATATGGTAACACACATGTGTGACAACATCAGCCATAAAACTTGGCTTTCGGGTCACTTCGGATGTAGCATCCGGTTGTTGAATCATATCGGTAATTGTAAGTTTGTAACACTTGCAAGGCTTTCAGATCAGATCATCATCATCGTGACATTTATATCCACTACCGCAGTGTTTATAGCCAGCCAGCGAGTAAATTAGTTATTGAAAGATACAACATCACGAAATTTCAAACGCGAAGTCGAGCGTGTAGATCTACACGCACGACGACTTTCTCTCCCAAAAACGAAACCTAAGTTTCTCCGCCGTTCTCCTCCATTTCGCCTCTCCGGTCTCCCGCTTCATCCGGTACCACGAGAGGGCTCTCTTCTCCCCCTTTCTGCTACTGTCTACGCGATTGTTTCCTTTTGGATGATCTAGATTTGCTCTCGTTTCCGTGGTGAGAGGGTCGGAGAACCAACGTGTGTGACGGCCACGCCTGAGTGTTTGGGTTCTCTCCGTCATGGCCACTTGCTTGTCGACTAATTCTCATCTCTCGCTTCATGCAGCTCTATCGGTCTGGATCTATTTTGTAGATTTTCTCCCCCTGGCGATTCCGGTGAAGGAGAGGTCCTTGCGCGACTTCGGAGTGGCGTCTGTGGTCGTCGTCTCGCTTCTCCTTCAGTTTTGTGTCTCGCCTGTTTCCAAGCTCAGTTTTGGTTCTTCCACCACGCATCGCTTCTTCATGTGGATTGGGCTTCTTCTCCGTCGGTTTCTTCTGCTCGGAGTCAGAGGAAATTGATTTGAGAAGATTCGATCTGTCTTCCTTGGTTTGACCTCCGGTAATTTCCAGTGGCGGGGGTAGAGATTGCTGCTCCATTCTCGGATTGGCTCAGATCTTTCTTATCGTTGTTGGAGCCTCGGTCTCCTGGTCTTCCCTTGTTGACTTGTTTCAGAGCAATGCTTCTCGGTTGCTCCTTAGTGGATTAGTCTTGATGATAAGGCCTGATGAAAGTGTGGGTTATTGGATAGTCTTGGCTGTGGACAGCAACCAATTCTTCTGGTAAGTGGCTCTTGTGGTGTTTTGGGCGTGGCGTATTGTCTTCGTGATTCCATAGAGTTTATGCCGTTTCGTGTGGTTTTGTAGTCTAGGTGATGGTAATGCTGCCGGTGGTAGTTCTTTTATTGTCTCATTGTTCTGCTTTGCGGTATATTGTTAGGAGAAAAACTACTACTAATTTTTTTAACCCCAAGGA